TGGGAGATGACTTCTGAATAAAAATTGTGGCCCTTTGAGTTATCTATCCAATGCAACTTGAATCACCTCAATTGGACATCGGTAAAGAAAGTTATGATTAAAACACTGAAAGCTGTCTGATGGAACCATGCGGTCACATGCCTTTCTACTATGCTGTCACACACACCTATACCAAGAATTGAAGAAGTTGAAAGTGCATAACCGTGTGACCGCAATGACAATAACCATGCAGTCGCAGAGTGTTTTTTGGGCGTCCGAATTTCAGTTTTCTTATACGATTGAATCTCTTATGGTAACCTAATTTTCACGGGATATAAATGCCCAAAACCACCCAGAACGAAGTCGGACACCCCCAAACCTATTTCTTTCATCTTGGTGCTCAAGAAACTCCATGAAAAACTAAGGAACTTGGTAAAGCAACGAAGGATCTCAATAGGTTTTGGTGATTTTGACATCTTTAATTCATGTAATTGAGTTTTTCATTATTAAACAATTTTAGAATCGAATTTCCATATCTTGAATATGTTTTTGACATTAGTTTAACAATTATTAGAATTTCCATAGATTCAGTCATGCTTTCTTTATCGAATATTCGAAATACTTGTTGAATTACAATTTGAATTATTTATTGTTGAGATTATTTTAACTTTTATCAAATCCTTCATAGATCTAGCCACGTTCCTTCTATCGAATGATTGAAATAATTGTTGAATTTTAATCTTAATATTACTTTATTGGCGAATTGATTACTGCCTTATGCTTGATGTATATGGTCGATCTTTGATCTTGTTCCAATAAAAAAATGTGCGAATGTGTTATAGAAAATCTAGATTCTAGCAATATAATTGGAATTAAATTGGACTTTATTGTTAAATCTTCCAATTAGAGAGTTGGGAAGAAAATCTCTAATTGAGGAAAAATACATGAATTATTGATGTCGATTGATCCAATCCATTGGGGGAATTCCGACGCTTCACTTATGTCGCATATTGATAATTAATTTTTATTCCAAGTGACAAATCATTCCCACATAAAATTACGAAAACCCTAGTTTGTTTGATTTTTTGAGAAAATTTCCATCTTCCTGTGGATACGACACCCCAAAACTGTACTACAATCACCGCGTTATACTTTGGGCGTAATCACTGAGTGATTACTCGATACTTAGAACTTTTGGCTGTACAGCTTTTTCTCATCAAAGTGAGGGTAAGCTGGAACCTAGAGCTAGGAAGTGTGTTTTCTTAGGATACCCCGAGGGTGTTAAGGGTTATAGGTTATGGGATAGAAGCCAAAAAGGGGTTAAAATCATCATAAGTAGAGATGTTACGTTTAACGAAAATGAGATGCTGTGTATTAAAGGGAAAACTGAACCTGAGAGTGAAGTGGAATCAGGTAAAGAGAGAGACCAGTTTAAGGTGGAGTTAGGAAAACTCAGTCTACCTGCCCCTACTGTTTCAAATGAGGTGGAGACTCAAACTCAGGAACCCGAAGTGGAGAATAGTAACGAAATAGTGACAGAAGAACACTATGAGCAAGAAAATCCTTTAGCTAACTATAACTTAGTTAGGGATAGAGAGAGGAGACAGACGAGAGAACCTAGAAGGTTTGGTTTTGAATCTGAATTAGCTTTTGCCCAGGCTAGTTATGAAGAACTAGCTGATGAAGAGCCAAAAACCTTTGAAGAAGCAATAGGCAGTGATCAATCTAATGAATGGCTTAAGGCAATGAAAGAAAAGATGAGTTCTCTAGAAAAGAATCATACTTGGGAGTTAGTACCTAGGCCTACGAATAAATCAATTGTTGATTGCAAATGAGTTTTTAAGGTTAAGGAAGGAACTAGCAGCTTGGAATTCCTAAGGTTTAAAGTTAGGTTAGTGGCTAAAGGCTACACACAGAAGGATGGCGTTGATTATAATGAAATTTTCTCACCAATTGTTAAGTTCACCACTATTAGGGTCATGCTCGCATTAGTTGCACAATTTGACTGGAAACTTGAACAACTTGACGTAAAAACTGCTTTCTTACATGGTGAGCTTGATG